TGTGTGTGATGTTGATATCATTAACTTCCATATCTAAGGGAAAAATTAAACAAGTTAGTGACATAGCATAAGGACTAAAGCAATTACGCAATTGTTTAAGCCCCACGGTGGGCGCCAAACTGTTTACCCGTAAAACGGTACAATTAAATTTGTTACGTAATTTATAAACAAGCGAACTGATTTGATCCAAAAATAATAAAGAAATAAGATTAAAAATGAGACTTAGCATTGAAATTGAAGAAGATGACAAGCCTGGCTCCGAACGCAATGTCTTCAGAGACAAAAGTGAAAGCAATGATAAAGAACAAGTAAAGTTATTTTAATTGAGAGCAAAAGCAGAATACATTATATGTTTGCTAAGAATTCTGTGTCCTACCATGGCTATTGAGCCTACTATTTATACTTTTATCTAGTGAAGCAAGATCCTAGGATCAAACTCTTCTTAAATGATAATAAAAGTATCATTGATGTAACGGCATGTCATAAATGCAAATATTCTCTGTAACGGTTGCTCATTTAATGTTAGAGAATATTCTATCATTAAATGCTATCCCATGAAATGATCTGCTTCCGCTGATTACGCTCCCTTTGGGCTTTACCCGATGTCGTTTGCAATTGTTGTATCTGGTATTGGTTGTTATTTGACTTACATTTTGCCTATCTTCGATTTCACGTATCATGCTACCATTTATTAAAAATCAATTTTACCCCATACAATTCTAAGAGTGTTTTGTGTTTTCTATTTTATATAGATAGATATAGATAGATTTTTGGGAAATGTTCGTTCCTATACCATATAGGAAACTATATTACCAAATATGTTTATAGTTTGCATATTACCCTTCATGCTAATAGTATTCCTACAAAATATAGACAATGCATTAAATAAGGAATCATTGTAGCTGTAGGATTCCTTATTTAGGCGCGCTAAAATTAGGGAATTAAATATTCTTCATGATCTTCCACAATGCAGATCACGCACATTCATAATTATCGTCGGCTTCACTCTTATCTTTCACAACGCAGATCAAGATTTTCCATACTCTGTTTTTGCGATACACTCTGTTTCCAGAATTCTCTCTACATCTCTCTCTATCTCTCAATCCCAAATTTCAGTAATACAAAGCAAAATAAAAGAGAGCAGCAATTCCACCATTGGCATCCATTAAAAAGCTTGAAAGCTTTGAATTCAAATTTGGGTTTTCAAAAATCATTATTTGTTTGGATTGGGTGTTGTTGAAAATAATTGAGAATATGGTTTGGAGTTTATATCTCAATTTTGAGGGGTTTTGGTGAAGATTAGACTTTTTGATCGCAGTGGACTCAACCTAAGGAAGAGTGGGCGCTAATACTTTTACCCAAAAGTGGTATCAGGGTCAATTTTCCACAGGGAGCTTCAATTTGGAGTTGAGTGTTTGTATGGTCTATGACTATGTTTTAGCTCCTAATTGATCTTCTAACCTTTTTGGTTTTCTTTTGATTATCAACTACAAGTTTAAAGCTAAGTTAGGCTAAGATATTGATTCTAAGTTGTATGCAATATAGAGAAAGACACTAGGGTCGTAGCATGTACCTAGCTGGTCAACTAACAGGTAGAGATTTCTAATGCAAGAATGATGAATATGGGACTTATGCTATAACCGTTGCACTTTTGCACCTTCTCTCACACCTCTCGGTAGAGAGAGTGATTTTTTCCAATTGACTCTCTCGAGACCAATTGGGTAGGCCAATGTGCCCAAGCAACTTATGGTTCAAGTTGGGTAATTACTCTCTCGAGGTTTAACCCGTTAATTGGGACTACCATTCTCATGGGTCCATCCCAAATCCTTGTTGGAATTAATCTTGGGGTCATAGACTCTCTTTCTCAAGAAGAGTCAAGACTCACTTAGCTAGACTTAGTGTTTGCAACCACCATATCTTAATGAAAACATAAGATTAATCCAAATAACAACTACCCAACATCATTCATGCACTAAACAATCACACTCATTAATTACTCACACTAGGATTGAGCCACAACCCTAGCTAATGGGTTTAGCTAGCCATAATAGAAACAGAAATTGAAGAAATAGTAGATGCAATTTGACATAATAATTAACTACAATGTTAATCTACTCAATCCACGTTAATACTAGAAGAAATTGCCCAAAATAGGCTAAAAATATGAAATCGCGAGTTCAGCTGCTATCTGATAAAAACCAAAACTAAAAAAACTCCATCTAAAAAATAAAATGTTCTATTTATACTACACAGGAAAAATCAGACAAAAATACCCCTGAGGGTCTGGCGCGGACCGCGCACAAATGACGCGCGGCCGCGTAGGGGTTTGGGTCTTCATATCTTGCTTCTGACATTGGGGGCGCGGACCGCACAAATGTGACGTGCGGCCGCGTGGGCTTTTGCCTTGAATGACTGAGTCTCTGACACTCTTGGGAGCGGACTGCGTGGAAAGGAGCGCGGATCGCGCATCTTGACTTGAAAATTGCATGGTCTCTGAACTATCCTGCACGGCCGCGTGGCAAAGCAGTGCGGACCGCGCAGGTTGACCTTGAAATTGCATGGTCTCTGAACTATCCTGTGCGGCCGCGTGGCAAAGCAGTGCGGACCGTGCAGGTTGACTTGGAAATTGTCCAGCCTCTGAACTCTCCTGTGCGGCCGCGTGACACATCAGTGCGGACCGCACAGGTCATTTTGTTCCCCACTTCAGTTGTCTTTTGACACTTGGCAGATTTCACTCTTTTTTGAGCCGATCTTTGGTATTTGTCATCTTGTCGCTCAAACCTGCAATCAAGCGCAACTTGCAAGTATTTTGGGACTAATTTATGGCAGTTAATGCATAAAGCTTAGGTAAGAATGAGTATAAAACACGTAGAAATCACAGTTATCAGTTTTGACTGAATTTCAGATTGAAACTAGAAGAAGAAGAAGAAGAAGAAGAAGAAGAAGAAGAAGAAGAAGAAGAAGAAGAAGAAGAAGAAGAAGAAGAAGAAGAAGAAGAAGAAGAAGAAGAAGACGTATATTGCAGAAATTGTAGAAAAATTGAAGAAAAATTGTAGACTGTTGTTTATTTTTTTTCTTTTATTCATTTACCTATTGTATGAATGTTTAACAACATTGTATAAAAATTGTATTTAAGTGGATGATTTAGTACTGGTTTGGACAAAAATATGTATCAAAAATGTGAAACATACATTTCAGGGGAAGCATGTCGAGTTCAAATATGTAGATTATTTGTATTCTGATTGTAGATGCTTTATTTTCTGTTTTCACAAATAAAAAACAACTAAAACTTTTACAAATCTTTTGAAAACATACAATTATGTCAAAAATCTCAATTATGCTACAATTGATGGGAATTGGGATATTAAAATTCAATATATCCAGTTTGTAGATATTTTATAGATAAATTGTAGATTATTTGTATTGTGATTGTAGATGCTTTGTTTTCTGTTTTCACAAATAAAAAACGACTAAAACTTCTACAAATCTTCTGCAAAAAACGCAATTATGTCGAAAATCCCAATTATGCTACAATTGAATGAGAATTGGGATAGTAAAATTCAATGTACCCAGTTTGTAGATATTTTGTCGATAAATTGTAGATTATTTGTGTTCTGATTATAAATGCTTTGTTTTCTGTTTTCACAAATCAAAAATGACTAAAACTTCTACAAATCTTCTGCAAAAAACGCAATTATGTCGAAAATCCCGATTATGCTACAATTCTGTGATTCTCCTATATGCTCTTGTTACTCCTTACGAAACTGCTATGCTAAATATGAAATCCAAAAAAACATGCTGAAAGGATAGATCTTCCTAAGAAATTTTGTAGATAATTCGTAGAAACATTGAAATTCAGTATTTTCATATTAATTTTTCAAATGATATGTAGTTTTGTTGTAGATTAAATGTAGAAACCAAGCCATTGTAAGTCTTATTTGACTCATTCCTCACATTCAACATATTCTACAAATTTATGCCTCTTTTAAATACAATACAACCATACTTTCTTGAATTTAAAGGTATTGCAATATATATAACTTAAAAAACATCTTCTCCTCTGCACAAGTTTGCTCCAAAACAGACGAAGTGGAATAACAAGCTCCCATCAAAACTTTTAACACAAAAACACAAAGCTCAAAAATAAATAAACAACAGTCTACAATTTTTCTACAATTTATCTACAATTTCTGCAATATAATGTACGTCATGTCTTCTTCTTCTTCAAGTTTCAATCTGAAATTCAGCCAAAACCAAGTCTAATCTTCACCAAAACCCCTCAAAAATTGAGATATAAACTCCAAACCATATTCCCAATTATTTACAACAACACCCAATCCAAACAAATAATGATTTTTGAAAACCCAAATTAGAATTCAAAGCTTCAAAGCTTTTTAATAGATGTCAATGGTGGAATTGCTGCTCTCTTTTCCTTTCCTCTTATATTACTGAAATTTGGGATTGCGAGATAGAGAGAGACGTAGAGAGAATTCTCAATTCTTTGCAACAACATCCAATCCAAACAAACAATGTCTTTTGAAAACCCAAATTCGAATTCAAAGCCTTGGCTATGGAAGAAATAATGGGATTTTGAAACAGAAATCGTGGGTGTGGGAAGGAAACGTGGGTGAAGGTGTGGGAATTGGAGAGAGAAACGTGGGAGGAGTGGTATTATAAGGAATATACGGTACCATTAAATTAGGAGTGTAATTAATACCCTTAAAAACCACTAATGGTATATAATTAGTAATTAAGTATACTAAATGTAATTATATCAAACCTTAAACATTGAGGGTAATATAATTTCCTATATGGCATAGGAATGTAAAAATTCCTAGATTTTAATGATAAACTTGTACGCAAAACCATATCCGATCTAGTTTGGTGCTTTTCATCGTCGGACAACCGAACACGACATCCCAGAAGGGACATTTAAAAAAGACGTAGAGTCGTTTCCGTTTCGGTCTTTTTTATAGCTAGCGTCCCGCGTTTGCTCGTCGCATCACAACATTTTGACCGGCCTCCCTGTACTGAGAAAAGTATAAGACGTGTCCGATTCATTAAACCCCACATTACTTGGTCAGATAAAACCCCATTAATTACGTACATCTTCTTCCTCGCCTTTGCCGCTGTTATCTTTTTCTCTCTCGCACCATGTCTCCTTCATCTTCTTCTTCGTCTTCCCAACAAAGAACTATGCGTATAGGCATAATTGGATTTGGTCCTTTCGCACAGTTTTTGACCAAAACCATGATAAAACAAGGCCATATAATCAGGGCTACTTCTAGATCAGATTATTCAGACTTGTGCGCAAATTTGGGTATCCTATTCTTCAGGTATATGCAGACGATTTCTCGATAATAAAGAATGAACAACTTTTCCAGCTAATGACTGCTTATGTTCATTTATTCACTTGCAGGGATATGGGTGCATTTCTTGAATCAGACAATGAGGTTATTATAATTAGCACGTCGATACTGTCTCTATCACGAGTTGTAGAGTCCATACCATTCCATTGTCTCAAGCGGCCTACACTTTTCGTTGATGTACTCTCAGTTAAAGAACACCCAAAAGATGTCCTTTTGCGAGTATGCAATTCACACCAACATTATTAATTTCAAGACTTTTGACTTCTGCAGCTTCACATACGTTTGTATGTTGAACAGTAATATGTCTAACAACGGTTGCATACTATGTGTTCGAAAGATATTGCCCGAGGAGTGCGACTNGCCCGTTAGGACCGCGGGCCCGGTCCGGTCCGGTTCAGGCCCGGCCCACCGAGCAGCATTATTGCTGTGTACTCACCCAATGTTTGGACCACAAAGTGGAAAAGATGGATGGACTGATTTGACTTTTATGTACGACATGATTCGAATTAGAGATAAATCTCTGTGTTCCAGTTTTCTGCAAATATTCTCAAGTGAGGTAAGAAGTTCAAATATGCCCAAAGTTGTGTTCGTCAATGTTATTACTTTCTCATTGATTTTGGCTAGCTAGACTAGCATGGTTCATTCTATTACTAGCTCCTTGAGCTGAAATTCTCCTGTATTGACTGGAAAACTGAGGAAAGAGAACCCCATATCTGAGTATTGCACGAATCTTCTGTTGCAGGGGTGCAAAATGCTGGAAATGACTTGTGAAGAGCATGACAAATTGGCTGCTCGAAGTCAATTTCTGACTCACACAATTGGCAGGTAACTTGTGTCACCTACAACTGTAGAAAGAGGTCATCACAATTACCAACTACTATTAATCTTCTTCACCTAACAGGATCTTATCCGAAATGGAGGTTGAACCCACCCCCATAGACACGAAGGGATTTCAGAAACTTGTTCAAGTGGTAAATACAACATTGACTTGTACCTTTTCAAGATTATACTTGTAGCAAATTAAGCGTGTTTTTCCTCTAGAACTAACTTTCAACTTCTGAGATCTCTGGTTTTTTGTTACACACTAAAATTGGACAACATGCAGAAGGAGAGCTCAGTTAGAGATAGTTTTGATCTATTCAGCGGGCTATTCATACACAATAGGTTTGCCAGGCAACAGGTATAATACTATTTTCGTATTCTGCAACTGAATCATAATTTCTTAGTAGCAAAAAGAGAAGAAATGCTGAACATAAAAATGAAGGTGCAGATGAAAAATTTAGAAGTAGCAGTGGAGAAAACTAAACAGAAGCTTGAAGAGAGGTCGAAGGAGCTGCAGGATCCTATCATATCTAAGTTCTAGTCTGCTGAAGGATGCTAATGAATGGGAACTTTATAACTCGCTTTCTTGGTCTTGTAATGTTTCATTTGTTGTATCATTAAGATGATTTTGGTTGCATTGTTTACTAAAACATTTCGTGAGAACTCAGTTTCGACAATGTACTTCAAAAACGAAAGGCATTTGGTTAAAAACTGACAATAAAAATGTTTCATTGCCTTGTATCAAGATTATCTTTGTTTGCAACTTTTACTAAAACATTTCTTGAGAAGTCAATTTTGACAATGTACTCTAAAGTATTCTCAATTTATCCAAATCTCTGTAGCAACTATTTCTCAAGCACTAAATAATAAGCGGGAAAACAGCCATCAAAACTTGGCTTCTGCGCATCTTTCGCGTACATGTTTGTATCCTTTTCCTCTATTCCTCTTTTACTAGTCTACATTACCAAATGCTGGCGCATAGACGTACTTTGAGAGATAGGGCTCATCAATGATGTCCACCTCGCCATTTACAAGATTCTCAGTTTTTGTAAGTTAAGTACCTTGTATTCAGCAACTTAGATAAACAAAGTTTATCTCATTGTTCGGTGTTGATAGTATCAGATTGTCGCAGTAAGTTCCTATATTTCACTATCTTCAGCAAAAAAAAAATGCAATTTTAAAGTTTTAATTATTAATAAGGTGTCCAAGTGCAACTAAAGTCAATTGTGTTTAAACGTATCCAGTGCTGCTGTATTCGCTTAGAGGTATACAGTGCTCTAATGTAGCTTCAGCCAGCTTTTATTCTCGGCAAAGTAGATCGAGTCTATGAATCAAAAAGATTTATTGGACGTGTGTTTCAACTATGTATATATTGACATGCTAAAAGATGAATGATATACAGCAAAGAATCAAAACTGCTGCTTACAAGTTATGCTAGAAAGTAGAGGAGAAGATAAGGAAGTGACACTGTTACTATTGATTGTTGATTTCGTCAATATTGGTATCTTCTGGTGTATTGCAACCAACGGCAGCAGGATTTGCTGAATCTGGAGCAAGATCCGAAACTTGCTCACTCTTTTGAGCCTGCAATCCTGTAAGCCGTGCAAGGTCGATCCATTGCTGCGGAAGAAGAGATACAGAAGTATTAATTATTTGCAAACAGAAAATTACTTTATCACTAATGAGATGATAGGTAGATGAATGATCAGTAAAACGAAGAAAGGCGAATAACTTAAACGCTACAACGTTTACAGTAAGAAACAAACCAAATGTGAAATAGTCATTGAACTCTTATATTATGAATGAAATTGGCAAGAGGCTATGGGAGTGCAAGTTTGGGAGGTTAGAAAACAATGTGTGAGACCCGGGAATAACAGCATGTGAGGCATGAATTTGGATAATGGGAGAAATAAATAATAGTAGTATGATAGGGAAAATCCTATGGTTTTGAGAATTATCTGGTCCCTCTCATTCCCTTTTCTAGTTTCCTGTCCCACCTTCTCTGTTCTTCTTAGTCTCTCTCCTTATTTCTCTTTCAAGTGTAATTATGTTCCTACAGTCTAGTCCCTTAATTAGTACTTGTATTTGTTCAGTTCATTATTGGAGGATTTGCTTGGATCAGTAGGGCTCATTACCCTGGTTCGAATCTGATTTGTTTTGTTTGGTAACATTACTCGTTCATTGCATCTTACTTCAAAGCTACTGTGAGGTTAGAGGGATCTTCTCTTGAAAGAAAAGCAGTATCTCCTACTATGTTTCTAAGTGTCAATTTTTTTTTGCAAGAAAAAAAAAAGGCTAATTGGGAATGGAGCGGACGAAAGATAAAGACCAGGAAAATAATGGAAAAGAATGGGAAATTTGAATAAAAGGTTTTAAGTAGGGTAGAGGGACAGCCATATTATCCACTGAGTTCCGAACCATGCGCCAACTTGACCTCGAGAATTTCTCGATTATCATTACCACTAGCCTACATGACTAGTCACTGCGATACTCATAAAGAAGTTCATCATCGGTTACTCATAAGAAAAAGAAGAAAAAAAAAATTAACTTCAACGAATTTTAGGCCATATCTAACCTGGGTTCCCCAGTAGGAGTTGATCGTTCGAACAACAAAAGATAGCATATTTACAAGTAATGTTTGGTCCGCTAATTGATCTGCAATCCGGTGTTCTACTAATCCTGCAATAACCTGCATTTCAAGTATATTGTTATGTTTAGTTGAACCTAAAACACCTTAATAGGAAGTTAAGGAACTTGAAAAGGCACCAACCTATAGAACTAACAGTTCAATCATTGTTAGATAGGTATTCTAAAGTAACATCTACTATATGTTTGAGTGAACGCTCGTGTCAAACATATTAGTAAAAGATGAAGGGACCAAAGCGGATTAAGAATCAGATTTTTCCGTTCAATGGCCTTTCTTTTAAAACTTGAAAGGGATATATCCAATGAAAATAAATAATCATCATCTTGGATCTGAAAACAATGGTATGAAAGACTAAACTTTCAAGCATATGTGGATTTTTAAGGTACCTGATACCGTAGATTTGCAGATGTACCAAGAAATGATGAATACACAAGCGCTGTTTTCAGTATTGGAGACCGCTTGCTCTTTTGGATAGTAGTAAAGGTCGGATTTAAGGCTTTGCGTATTGCATACAAGATATTTGATGAAGCCACTGCGCCGATGCTAGAAACAAATCCTACACCGGTCAATTTAAGGCCACCAACAAGCACAGATGCAACTCTGTGGCTCATATTCCAATCCTTCCCAGCAAGATTTTTCTGAAAAGCATTATCTGGGATAGAACCCAGGAGGCCTTTCAATGCTTCCACGCTCTTAGGCGCATCAACATCATCAGCAACTGGCAAGAAAGAAATCGTTGGAGCAGGAAGCCACACTGTGAAAAAATCCACGACTATACCCCTGGCAGTGTCTGTAATAACATAATCAAGCTCTTCAAAGAAATTTTCTCTACGTTTCTCATACTGTGCCAAGAGAGTTGTTGTTATTGATATACTTTCTTCAATAGCTAATCGATGTAGAAATTTAGGATCGGCCAACAATCTCTCTCTAAAACCCTGCATCAGAACAAGTTTTTTTCAACTTCGACCAACTTAGCATTTTCTTTATACACAATTACAAGCGTAAAATAAACAAAATAAAGAGAGAAAAAATTTATCCTTTTTATTTAAGTTTTTCTTTCTTTATTCATGCTCTTTTCTCCTTCTGGTGGTGTAAAAATAGATGTTTATCATAGCACACACCTGAAAGCGATGAGTTAATTCTGAAATGAAAGGATATTGCTCTAGATCAAAAAAGTTCTGCAGCACTTCCGGAGACACCAGACCACGATCTAATCCATTTTGAAGATCCTGAAAAAAAAAGAATAAGTCGCTACTGTAATGAGATAAAGTTCCTCAGAGTGCAACTCAACAGAATACGCACAATTACTAGCATGTAAACATTTTCAACGGCTGCAGTACCAGATACTTTCAAGTTGCAAGTAGTGTATCTTAGTTGAAATTTGAAGCCATGGATAGTAATTACTTCGACTTTCTACTATGAAGTGTCAATTAACCACAACAGATGGGACATCAGGAAAACAGTAAGAGGAATATGTATTCCACAGATATTACCATTGTAGCTACAGGATCCGTGACTCTACAATCTCACGGAAACCCTGTGTCACGCCCCAACCTCGGGAGGCGCGACCGGCGCTCAATCGAGTGAACCCAACTGAGCAAGCCTCATAAAACACTACCCATCCAACTCAATATGAATAGGGAAACCATGCTTTCATTTATTTAGACAAGGAAGGATAGTACATTCAACATTTTAGTTCATTTTATATCACAACATTAAATCGTAGTTAAGTGTCCAAGATTCCATACAGTTATAGTTTAAAGGAAAGCAAGAGTACAAGGTCACAACATGGTTCATTGACCTATCCAATACCCGTACATAACCCACACAAACGTCTACGGAGCCTCTAAGGATACAAAAGACAGTGATAACAACGTCGGCAACAAGGCCCCGGCTATACCTCAAAATGGATGTCTATAACAAAAGGTGTACCACATGACCCCTTGAAGGAGGAAGGGGCTCACCAAGATTTTGAGAAAAGGATGTTCTGCTACATACGATCGGTACTATCCACTATGGAGCCACCTACATTCATTTAAAAATGTAGCGCCCCCGGCAAATGGGACGTTAGTACCATGGAATAGTACTAGTATGTATAACTAAACACCATCTTGTTAGAAAAAACAACCATTCAAGAGTAAAGAGGAAATAGTAAAGGCAACAAAGTTTCAAATAAGCACCATGCCAACAATATAAGAAGGTTCACATGATTTCTACAGGGTTCTTGCAATTTTAGATTGGAGCACCCCACATTGTTGCATCATTATCCATATTATCACCGCTTCTGTGAGCGGAGTCCGATCACGGCCCGATCGGCTAAGTCGTCTCCCCGAGACGTTACCATTATTTCATTCACACCTTCCAGTTTCAATCATCAATACATTACCACCATGTGTATATATATATTATGGCGTCCGATCACGGTCCGATCAGCTAAGCTGTCTCCCCGAGACGTTACCATTTTCCGTTATTCATCTCATACCGATCTTCGGCTACACATGTATTAGTTTACCGGCGCTTGGGGCCACAATTTCCACGTTTCATAACTCACGTTTCACATTATTCCCATTTCCAACATTCACCTTGCCACTTAAAGTCATAGGCATATACAAAAGCAATTTAAGTCATAAGCATAGAAGGAAATTCATCAAGTTTGGCATATTAGTTCCAAAGTAACCTTGGCATGACAGTTAGGCATTTAGAACATAAATCATGTTCTCCACACATCTTCCATTTACAAGAATAGCACATTAAACACATAAAGAAGTACTTACCACATACATTTTCACAACATCAATTCACTTAACATAACAAGCATTGCATCAGTCACGTTTCGAACTTACAACACTTACACGGGCACCATGGGAGCTCAATTTCTAAGAGGAGGGGGTTTTAGCCATACATACCTTGTTTAAGCTTTCCTTAAGTTACTATGACGTTCCGGAAATTCTAGAAACCCCAATCTACTTTGAGACATAACAAAATTGAACACAAATTAGGAAGGTATTCATGGTTTCAGCTTGTTTGAGCATTTTATCAAACACTTGTTGTGCATCTTGATTTCAAATCTCTTTTACAAGGTTTCCTTCATTTCCCAACCCAATCTTTACTTATTTATGTTCAACAATCTTTCCACAAACCTAATTTGTACATGCATGTATACATAATAGTATTACACCCAAGAATCATACCTCAATATCCCATCTTATACCCCAAACTCGAAATTAAAGTCTAATGTATAGAATCTTACCTCTTAGATGAAGAACTTGTGATTGGGTTCTTTGATTCTTGAAAATTGATGCAAGATTGGATGATTGAATGTTGGGTTCCTCCTTCTCTCTCTAAAATGCTCTCAACTCTCTCTAAAATTAGTAGAAAAATGACCCCAAATGAAGCCCCAAAGACTATATATTAAAATGGGGTCGGGTTATAAAAATTTAGAAAATTGGAGCCCGAGTCAGGTCTGCGATCTCATTTGCGATTGCAAAGTGGAAATGCGGCCCGCAGAATGGACCGCAAAGCGCTCCCAAAATCTGAACATTTTGTCTGGGTATGCTGCAAAAATGCAGTCCGCATACCCGTTCTGCGGTCGCATAATGCACCGCAGAACTGCTCCTTACAAAATCCCAAGGAAATTATGCGACGACTATGCAGTCCACATATCGGTTATGCGATCGCATAGTGGACCGCATATTTAACCTTAAATTTGACTAACACACTGACTCACTTTGCGGTGACTATGCCCCCTATGCGGTTCGCATACCTGATATGCGACCGCATTCTCGACCGCAAAATCGCACTTCTCTGGAAAACATTATTTCTTAGACTTTTTAATGCATTGTATCCACAGGGGTCCGAACCGCGGCGAGCAAGCTCGCTGCGAAGAATTTTTTTTTTTTTGTGAACCCTAACACATGCTCCTAACTTGGCACCACGGGATTCGGGGTTCTGAGTAGGAAATTCACGGGACCTTACATCCTCCCCACTTAAGATCATTCGTCCTCGAATGAGGATCAAGGTTCACTTATTAACAGTCTTAGTGCAATCTTCTGGTCTTTATAACCTGAAACATGTTGCCAGTCCCCAAATTTAGCTAACTCCCTATATTTCCGAAAATTTCGCTAGAGTTTCCTTTGTATTTAGGCCTATCCACCTGTCAGAGAGCCCCAGAAACATATCCTAGCAGCGGGTACACATTCCATGGATATAAGGCGACATAACTCGTACAATACTAACCATGGCCGCATTGGCAACACGTATATATATAACCAAAACATGACAGTTTTACATAGATCAAATCAGAAGATAAGAGTTCATAGGAGCTAAGTGCATAAAAGCTATTACATGACTATTCGAACAAATGTGGGTACTTCTTTTTCATCTCATCCTTGGCTTCCCAAGTGGCTTCCTCAACTTGCTGGTTTCGCCATAACACTTTCACGGATGCAATTTCC